CAAAGGAGGGAGATTATTGGGATCCGAGAGATCGTTAACAGACACTCCACAAGGGTAGGAAAGGTCATGAATTACTCGGGCCCCTAGGTGAGGGTCAACACCAGGCATAGGTACACATCCGAACGGACTGAGTTGAAGATCTAGCCAGTGTTTTGCAGCATCTTCGTCGACCACCATGTAGGTCTCGTTGTCTTGACCGGCACGGATGCTTCCCAGAAGGGCGGTTCCCATCGACGTGGCCGATTTGTGGTTCATCTGTGTTCGCCAGGAGGGCCGGTGACTCGTACGGCTACGAAAAGGGTGCTGAACGCCGTCCCAAATTGTCGATAACACGACGTGTTGTAGATCGTATCCATGCAGTAGCCACTCTAAATGTTCACACGAGAACGCCTTGTTGGGGCGCGGATCGCTCAGTGTTTGACCTCTCCAAAGGCGGACTGTAACTTCTAACGTCAAATTAGCACGGCGGACAAGCTCGGACAGAACTTGCTGAGCGTCGGCGTCCAGATGATGCTTGATACGCCCAGATGCTGCTTGATACGTCCAGACTGCGGGGCTAAACTCGGAAGTGTAGTTGGTAGGTTGACGCCAGCAGCAGCGAAGGCGTCACGGCGACTGCGTTGCCTACTCTGCTCCGCACACCGGAGCTTCTCCTCCAGGTGACCTTGAATGGCGACGACAGTTTCGAGAGTAAGACTTACGCGGGTGTCCCTCCGCACTTCACTTCTTAAGTGGAAAAGATCAGATCTGAGACCACCGAGTTTGTCTTGGACGTGCTTCTTGATCACGGGGTCGATCTTCTCCTTTGGAACGAAGTGAGCTAGGAATGGGTGCGTGCAGCGCGTGGACGACGTAGAAGGACACCCCTTCTTGGATATGAAGCGCAGACACGACTGTTTACCATCCTCCTCACGTGGTACCACGAGGCCAACTTCGACAGGCACAGTGCGCTTCGACGTCGCTGTCGGCGTCGAGGACGACGTCGGCGGTTGAGAGTACGGCTTGCCGCCAAAGGCTGCCCGGCTTTGAGGTTCCGCATGTTGGGCAGTGTAAATAGGGCCACGCCAAGACTGTCGCGATAACTGTAGTAACATGCCGCTGAGCTCGCGATCGTGAAGCGTAAAGCGTTCTTGTACGCGGAGATGTGTGGACGTCTGGTGGTCAATGTCGTACTCACAGGCAAGCCGATACGCAGCCAGCCCGTTGCTACACCAGAATGCGAGAGCTGATACCTCTGCGTGGGACCATGACTCGTAATCACTGCGTTCTTCAGCAAATTCCTTTGCTTCAGCCACTAGCCGGCAGGTGTGGCCGTCAAAGAATTCGTTGCAATAGGTACCCAGAACACCCAAAGCAGCTTTCAGATCACCGAGACACGGCTCTCCTGTAAGTTTGGGAAGCTCCACACTGGCGGAAAAGTTGCGCGCGTTGAAGTGGTTGGCATTTGCTTGTTCTTGCTGAGCCGTGAGGTCGAACCGACGAAAGTGTAGGACAGATAGACCACACACGCCGAACAGGAAATCGTAGAGCCGGCTCAGAATGGCTGGATGCGGGAAAAATTTGGTGGCTCGAGCAACACGAAAGTGTTCAACATATGCAGCAGGGGACTTACCTCTGTGGTCTTCCGCGCATATAAGATCATGAACGTCCCGCGACGATGGTCGAAAACTGTGCTGGCGGTCCATGCGGTCACTAGACTCCGCAACTGGTATGCTGTCAGAAATGGTGGGGTAGCGACCGCGGCGATTCGTGTGATCCCGAGAGCGTACAACCACTATACGGGTGGAGAACATCCAACTTTGTGGAAAGTGTATTCGGGACAGAGCTTACTATTGGAATTAGAGGTTTTATCGCCATTTCAATTATGTGCACACTGATTCTAACGCGGGCTTTTACAAGGCTACCTACGGTCAAGATTCCAGATCAAGGCCGTCAGATCCTACAAGATCGAGGCATTCGATTATGATCTGGACCCTACACCAGACGTAGAGTGAAGATCTTCCACTACTACTCCACCCAATCCCCACGTCTCGCCAAGACAATCAAGCTTCACTCATTTAATCTTCTCTAAAGTTACTAGAGGAACAAGTTCCGTCCATACCGACGGGTACACAAGGTGAACAAGTTCAGCCGATCATTGATCATCGGGGGTAGATCATTTATGCAGTTGATGTCGCAGCGTTCGGGATGCAGAATAAGCTGGTGGTATATAACGAAGCCAACTTGGTGATGAAGGTGTTATAGAGGCTACAACAGCAATTCGTCTTTTGGTGTTCGTGTTAGCCAATCGCAATTGTCGATGACTACTAACCATACTGAGAAGTACTCTGCTCTTGCTTTGCCTTGATTACCTATTTGATGGTCATCCCGATCGGCACAAAGCTCACATCAGCCCTAGCTCCGACTGGAGACAGCGCTGCGACATAGGTTAAATACATTTCAGTCATGTTGATAGCTACTCTCTCTCTCTCCAATCATCAGGAACTGGATCTAGAACACAAATTTTGGAGTCCCTTCGGAATCGGACTACCAAAGCCCTACGCATAAATATAAAAACCAAAATGACTATTCTAGAAGCTACTTCCACTATCATGCACTGTGATAAAATACTATTTTTTTATTAATGCAGTACGCAATTCTTCCTTGATTTTTTTTACTAAAAAAAAAATAATAAAAGATATCGATTTCCATAAACAAAATCCTTGTTTCGATATGTATGCAAAACTGAGGATGTGTTCTTATTAACAGTTTTAATACGTGTAATCTGCGTATGCACTGAGCTCTTGTATTGTCTGGGAACAAGGTAAGCGAGCAAAACTCTTAGCAACCAAACTCGTAAAATGAGTGTGGACGTATATTATATCACACCAAAAAAAGATGACATACTACTCGCGACGTTTAGTTTTACAGGTAACACACAATTGCTGAAACGTCTCCTCGCCGCTTCAGAGACTTTAGCTGGATCAGCTAATTAGATTAGTACTATGACCAGTACGACCAACGATTGCATACCCTCCCATCAAAGCCATTTTAGTGTTTGTGTAGTCGCTGTGTTAAAACAATAATACCTTTGTTTGCGGCTCTGCTAAAAGTTTCATGTAGGGAGACGTGTCGAATCTGCACAGACCACATGAGTTGAATTCGGGAGCTACAAATATAAACTGTGACCATTTAAGGTACATATTCATGTTACGCCGATACCGCACGTTTAGAAATGTTTGTATGTCGCTGACATAAGCGGAGGACTTTGCAGCATTTGTTAGCCAAGACAAGTAATGTGAGCTATACTGATACTAGCGAGAACTGTTCCCGTTCGGCAATCTTGGGTCACCATCCGCTTATACATATCTTGTCAATTAAGATCTACTCTTGTCAAACCCCCTTAAGAAAACTCAAGCACTTCAAGTTGACGGCAAATGTTGACACTAACGGCCTCGTGAATTTTCACCTTCACAGAACGTTTTACAACACGACAAATATTATCCTACTGTACTATCTGTTGGTCATTTGAGTTTTTCTCTAAAAACCTCTTTTCAAGGTACCATTACAATAGCGAGTTTCATTTGTACTGTTTACTGCTATCATCTTGTCATTGCAAAAGTTCCAAGCGCAAAGCTAGTTTGCGTTTGAAGGGGAAAAATAATACTACGTATAAATAGAATATTTTTGCCAGCGTCCTCATTTATTTCAAATATGACGAGATGATATTGTCACCGTCCCTCGATTGAAACCGAGTAGAAGAAACTGTAGCAAAAAAAGCAGCTGCGTATCGCTCTCGATTCAACTAAATATATTAGCCCACGACGTTGGATGGCTTGCACTGTTACCCTGGTGGTGCTGACTCAGTATAAACTTTTCGAATTTTCGTCCCTTTTCGCGGAGATAGTTACCAACCTTGCTGAGCTGCTTGATCCCAGGAAAGTCTGAGAACTTTGTGCGCTTGGGATGCTGGCCAATCTTGGAAGGCGTGAAAGCTCTCTCTTCATCCGTCCGAAATGACTCGGTGGCTCCTTTGCTTCCTTTGAGGAAGCGGCGGTCTCCATTTGTGGAGTGAGTGCTCGTCGTCAGGCTTTTAATCTCGCCAGTTCCCTCAACCGTTGCAATTGTGCTGCAACTAGCAAGTACAAGGAGCACAACGTGAATCACGCGCATGGTTGATATTCTCGAGCAGAGTGGCAAATGTCCTAGGCGTGTAAGAGACGATTGTAGAATGAGCTCGAGGTGCCTAGCTAGTTTAGCTCTGGCTGCTCTCTTTCACAATGTTCAACGAAAAGGTTTTGAGCTGGGGACTGCAAATTTACACAACTGTATGCATGTATATATATTTAATGCAAATACAAAAATAAACGTTGTTACACCTTTTTCAGACCAAAATGAGAAATTCTCAGATCAAAACAAGAAATGTTCAGACCAAAATGAGAGGACCTGTAATCAGTGATATTTACAGCAACTGATTACCTTTCAAATGTTATCAAGAACCCACAGGCATGTCCTCTAAGTCCAATGCACGC